TATTGGAAATACCATGGCTTGGGTCAGGTGCACCTTAGCCCGTAAGCTGACATCTTTGCTCTTCAACATTTTAAAAAGGTCTTGTGCAGCAGATTTGCCTAATACGATATGTTGTCTGATTTCTTGACTGCTGCTTTCCATGAGGTTGTTGTTGTTAAGTGCCGTCAGAGTCAGTTCTGACCCATAGCGACCCTGAACAGGAAATGCGTATGATTAAGAGCCAATGATAATGAAGGAGTAAGTCCAAAGTACACTGAAAGCATTGACAAAGAACAAGGCTCTGGAAATTGGTGAAATACAAATTGAACTCTTTCAACAAACTGAGGCAGCACTAGAGGCACTCATTCATCTATGACAAGAAATTTGGAAGACAGCTACTTGACTAACTGCCTGGAAGAGATATATATATATTTGTGCCCATTCCAAAGAGAGGTGATCCAACGCTATGTAGAAATAAATGGACAGTGTCATTAATATCACAAGCAAGTAAAATTTTGCTGAAGATAATTCAAATAAAGGCTGCAGCAGTACATTGACAGAGAGCTGTCAGAGGTTCAGTCTGGATTCAAATGAGAACATGGAACAAGGCTGGAAGTAGAGAATACCAGAAAGATGTTTGTTGTTAAGTGCCATCAAGTCGGTTCTGACCTATAGCGGCCCTGCATAGGGTTTCTGAGGAGCAACTGGTGAGCTTGAACTGCCGACTTTGCAGTTCAAACGGCTTTGCAGTCTGGCGCATTAACCCATAGCACCACACCAGGACTCCAGAAAGATGTTTACCTGTGCTTTATTGACTGCGCGAAAGCTTTCGATTGTGTGGGTCATGACAAGTTATGGACAGCGTTGCAAAGCAATGAATATTCTGGCACACTTAAACTGTGCTCATGAGGAACCTGTACATAGACCCAGAGGCAGTTTTTCGAATAGAAAAAGGGGACACTTAATGGTTTAAAGTCAGGAAAGGTGTGTGCCAGAGTTGTATTCTTATTCACTCTGTATGCAGAGCAAATAATCTGAGAAGCTAGATTATATGAAGAAGAACATGGTATTAGGATTGGAGGAACCTGTGATAGGCAGATGATACAAATTTACTTGCTGAAACTAAAGAGGAATTAAAATACTGATAAAAATCAAATGCCACAATTTTCAGTATGGGTTGTACCTCAATGTAAAGAAAACAAAATTTCTCATCACTGGACCAATAAATAATGTCAAGATAAATGGAGAAAGATTGAAGTTGTCAAGGATTTCATTTTGTTTTGACCAACCATCAACACTCATGGAAGCAGCAGTCAAGAAGTCAAATGATGTATTTCATTGAGCATAGGACTTCTTTAAGAGCAAAGATAACAGTTTGAG